GTGGGAACTGTGCTTAGGGCTCTCTCTTACCTGTGTCGACCGGCCCTTAGCCGCCCGCGCGCCGCCCGTTCAGGCCTCTAGCCGCCCGCGCGCCGCCCTTAGCAGCCCGCGCGCCGCCTGTCCAGGCCCCGTGCAGCCCGCGCGCCGCCCTTAGCAGCCCGCGCGCCGCCCTTAGCAGCCCGCGCGCCGCCCGTCCAGGCCCCGTGCAGCCCGAGCGCCGCCCTTAGCAGCCCGCGCGCCGCCCGTCCAGGCCCCATGCAGCCCGCGCGCCGCCCTTAGCAGCCCGCGCGCCGCCCGCCAAGCTCCAGGCCGCCCACGCGCCGCCCGCCAGGCCCCTAGCCGCCCACGCGCCGTCCGCGCGCTGCCCTTAGCAGCCCGCGCGCCGCCCGCCTGGCCCCAGGCCGCCCACGCGCTGCCCGCGCGCCGCCCTAAGCCGCCCGCGCGCCACCCGCCAGGCCCCAGGCTGCCCACGTACCGCCCGTCAGGCACCACGCCGCCCGTGCGCCGCCCTTAGCCGCCCGAAGCGCCGCCCGTGAGCCGCCCGTGAGCCGCCCGCGAGCCGCCCGTGAGCCACCCGTCCTGACACCCGAGCAGCCCGTGAGCCGCCCGTCAGCCGCCCGTGGGCCGCCCGTGAGCCGCCCGTGAGCCGCCCGTGAGCCGCCCGTGAGCCGCCCGTGAGCCGTCCGTCCCGACGCCCGAGCCGCCCGTGCCACCCGCGTCACCCGAGCCACCCAAGCCGCCTACGCAGCTGAGGAGCCGAGCCGCCCGAGCCGCCTGTGCCGCTGAGCGCCCGAGCCGCCCGAGCCGCCCGAGTCGCCCGAGCCGCCCGAGCCGCCCGAGCCGCCCGAGTCGCCTGAGGAGCCAAGCTACTGGTCCTGTGGGGCTGTTGTTGCTACTGGGCCGGCAGAGCTGCTGTGTTGCCGTGTTGCTGTGCTGCTGAGCTGCCCGACCCGTCCTGTCTGGTGAGACTATCGACTGCTGTCATGGCCACCCCTAGTGTCCTGGCTTTTGACGCTGAGGGTCGCGCCATTGACTTTGAGGTCTGGGTTGACGACCTGCAGCTGTACTTGCAGTGCGATTCAGTAGATGACATTTCTCTCTTTGACTTTGCCTCTGGCGCTGTCCCTGCCCCTGCTGCTGATGCTGACCCCACTGTTCGCTCCAAGTGGGCCACACGCGATGCTGCTGCACGTCTTGCTGTGCGTCGCCACCTCCCTACCTCTGAGCGTGCACACTTTAGTCAGTACAAGACTGCACAGACCTTGTACGACGCTGTAGTTGCGCGCTACTCCTCCCCTTCCTCTGCTGCACCGAGCCGCCTCATTCTACCCTACCTCTTCCCTGACCTTGCTGCCTTTCCCACTGTCGCTGACCTCATTACACACCTCCGCACTAGTGAGACTCGCTACCGCGCTGCACTTCCTGCTGACTTCTGCGCCACGAACCCCCCTCCCATGTACATCACCCTCTACTTTCTAGTCACCCATCTCCCTGAGTCCCTTCGTGTAGTTAGGGACCAGTTTCTCTCGGTCTGTCCCACCACCCTCACTGTCGACCTCCTCGAGAAGTCCTTGCTAGCGGCAGAGAAGAGCATAGTCGCTGTAGGGGCCTCTCGTGGTGACCCTCGCACCCCCATCTTTGAGGGGTGTTCTCCTTCCCCCCTGTTACCCTCTGTCACCTCTGCTGCTGCGGCTGACCTCCTTGGGCTAGAGTCGGTCGGTGCGGCGTCTTCCCCCAGCGGTAGGCGCCGCTCTGGCAAGGGCAAGGGGGGCAAGGGAGCGGGTGGAGCTAGCGGGGGCGGTGGCGGAGGAGGTGGGGGCGGCGGGGGGAGTGGGGGTGGCGGTGGAGGTGGTAGCGGGGGTGGGGGTACTAGTGGCGGTAGTGGAGGCGGAGGTGGCGGCGGCGGTGGCGGTGGGAGCGGCGGTGGCGGAGGTGGCAGCGGTGGGGGCGGGGGCGGGGGTGGCGGTGGTGGGGGTGGTCGGAGTGGCTCGTCGCAGCGGAACGGCACTGGGGGTAGTCAGCGCCAGCAGCAGCAGCAGCCGCAGCAGCAGCAGCAGTAGCGTTCTCGTGACGTCCCCACCCCTCAGCAGCTCCGTGAGTGGTACACGCAGCGTCGGTGTGGTGGGGCTTTTGGTCCCTGCACCTACGTCCTCCGCACCGGCGACCGCGCGGGTGAGCAGTGTGGGGGTGCCCACACCGCTCAGCGCTGCTTTGGCCGCCTGACGGACGCTTGGCATCAGCAGTTCCCGGAGGCCTCTGAGATCCCCCGCTGGGGAGAGCTGTCTAGGGCTGGTGTAGCTATCTTTGATCTTGACTTTGATGCTATCCTTGCTGCCATGTATGCTGTGACTGTTAGTGATGAGGGTGACTGTTACCGGTGTTTCCCGCCCAACCCGGGCATAGGTACTGCTGCTCTAGGTGCTAGTGAAGCTACTGCTCTCGGTGCCAGTGCGTCTGTGCTCTCAGGTGCTAGTGCGTCTGCGCTCTCAGGTACTGGTGAGTCTGCGCTCTCAGGTACTACGTCGGCTTCGGCCTCCCACACCTTCACCCTTGACTCTGGGGCGTCTCGCTCCTTCTTTCGGGACCGCACCACTCTCACGCCGCTTAGTCGGCCGGTTGCAGTGTCCCTGGCTGACCCCTCTGGGGGTCCTGTCCTGTCTCGTTTCTCCACAGTCCTCCCGTGTCCGGCGGCTCCCTCTGGCACCCTGACTGGTCTCTACCTCCCCTTGTTCTCTACGAACCTGGTGAGTGGTGCTGATCTACAGGATGTGGGTGTCCACCTGTTCACTCCTGCTCGTTAGCGGGTGACACACTGCACAGAGGCTAGCACAGGTCGCCACCTAGCTACGTTTACACGTCAGCCAGGGTCGAGCCTGTACACACTGACCACTGCTTCTCCTCCCGGTGCTGAGTCTGGTCGAGTCCCTTCGTCTGGTCAGGTGTTTGCTGCAGCGTCCAGGTCTGGTCCTGAGTCTGCCCCCTGTTCGTGTCGCCGTCTGTCTCACGAGACTCTCCTCTGGCACCACCGCCTTGGTCACCCCTCTCTGCTTCGGCTCAGAGGCATGGCCTCCCGTCTTCTTGTGTCTGGTCTCCCCCGGTCCCTCCCTCCCCTTCCTCAGGGCCCTGGCCGTGCCTGTGTCCCTTGTGTCGAGGGGCGCCAGCGTGCTGCCCCTCACTCCTCCCAGTTTCCTCCGACAGAGGCTCCGTTGCAGACGCTTCACATGGACGTGTGGGGCCCTACCCGCGTCCGTGGACTCGGTCACGAGCGCTACTTGCTGTTGGTGGTTGACGACTACTCGCGTTACACCACAGTCTTCCCCTTGCGCAGCAAGGGTGATGACACTGAGGTGCTGATCGACTGGATCCGCGCAGCTCGTCTCCAGCTCAGGCAGAGCTTTGGCTCGGACTTTCCTGTGTCGCGTCTGCACTCGGACAGAGGCGGAGAGTTCTCCTCTGGCCTTCTCCGTGCCTACTGTCGTGCGCGAGGCATCCGTCAGACCTTCACGCTTCCGGACTCACCGCAGCAAAATGGGATTGCAGAGCGCCGCATTGGCATGGTCATGGACGTCGCTCGTACGTCTATGATGCATGCGGCTGCCCCCAATTTTTTGTGGCTGTTTGCGGTCAGGTACGCGGCGCATCAGATCAACCTCCACCCCAGGGTCTCCAGGCCGGAGACCTCCCCAGCCCTGCTGTGGACGGGGAAGGTTGGCGATGCGTCGGCGTTCCGGGTCTGGGGATCTCGGGCGTTTGTCCGCGACTTGTCTGCGGACAAGCTGTCCCCTCGCGCTGCTCCCTGCGTCTTCCTGGGGTTCCCCCCCGACGCCCCTGGGTGGCAGTTCTACCACCCCACCTCTCGCCGTGTTCTGTCCTCCCAGGACGTCACGTTCGACGAGTCGGTACCCTACTACCGCCTCTTCCCCTACCGCACTCCGTCCCTCCCCCCACCCCCGCTCTTCTTGGTACCAGGTCCCCCCCCGGTAGACCCCCTTCCCCCTCAGGGTCCTGCCCCTTCAGGTGTGTCCCAGGTAGACGCGGTCGAGCCTGTCGAGGTCACTGGTGACTCTGGTGCTGCTGTGGGTGCTGAGCCTAGGGGTGCTGTGACTGGGGGTGCTGTGCCAGGGGGTACTGAGCCTGGGGGTGCGAAGTCTGGGGGTGCTGAGCCTGGGGGTGCTGAGCCTGGGGGTGCTGAGCCTGGGGGTGCTGAGCCTGGGGATGCTGAGCCTGGGGGTGCTGAGCCTGGGACTGCGGAGTCTGGGGGTGCGGAGTCTGGGGGTGGTGAGCCTGGGGGTGCTGAGATTGGGGGTGCTGAGCTTGGGAGTGCTGTGCCTGGAGGTGCTTCGTCTCGCCGAGAGCCACTCTCCCCTCAGGAGCTGCGTGAGTGGTTTGCCCGGCGCTGGAGGCGTGCTGCTGGTGCTGGAGGTTCTTCGGCTGCTGAGGGTGCTGCTGCCGCGCGTCCCGGAGGTGCTCGTACTGGGGGTACTGGAGTTGCTGGGCCTGCGGGTTCTCCTAGAGCTGGTGCTGCTGAGTGTGTTGGCGCTGAGACTACCGCTGGCGGTCCAGCTGGCAGTGCTCCTGGTGCTGCTGGAGGTTCTGGGGCTACTGGAGGTGCTGCTGGGGATTCTGGAGCTACTGGGGGTGCTGCTGGAGGTACTTCTGGAACGGGTACTCCTGCTGGGGGTACTGGTGCTGTCCCTGCAGTTTCTGGCGTCACCACGCGGCCCCGACCGTACTTCATTCCGCTCCTGCAGCAGGTTCTTGGTCTTACACCTTCTCCTGGTCCTCCTCCTCCTCCCTTAGAGGGTCCACAGCCTGTCCGGTCACAGTCTCAGCTACAGCCTGCCTCCCCTTTGCCTGCTCCTTCTCCCTACGCTGGTTCGACTGGAGGTCTTACAGAGCGTCGTGAGCCTGCGACTCGTCCTGCGTCGCCTGTTCGTGCTGCGCGCACTAGTGGTCGCGGTTCGCGTCAGCGTCCTCCTCCTGTCCCTGGCACGCACCGGATGTCTCTACGTCCGTCTACTGCTCCTCTGCGTGCCTCTTTGCCTTCTCCTCCTGCTTCCTCTCTTCCTGCTCTTGCCGACCCGGAGTCGGACTCTCTTCGTGCTGCCAGCCCTACTGTCACGCGTCTCCTTGCTACTGCCGTAACTGACCCTTCTTTCCAGTTTTCTGCTGCGTCTGCCCTTGTTACTGAGCTCGTCGACTTTGCAGCACGCTGTCGTCTAGACTACGCTGCTAGTCTTGTCGCTGAGTCTGAGTCTGCCTGTCCTCCGTCCGTCGGGGGTGAGTGTGCCCTTGGCACGGACGTCCTTGAGGACACGCAGGAGGAGTTCCAGTGTCTGGCCGCCGCTTCACCTCATCTCGCGTCTGTACTGCTCACCCCTGAGGGAGACCCGGATGCACTAGACATCCCGACTCCGCGCTCTTACGCGGAGGCGATAGAGGGTCCCTACTCCTCTCAGTGGCAGGTAGCTATGGATGCAGAGATGGCTTCCTGGAAGTCCACAAGCACCTACGCTGACGCTGTCCCCCCTCCTGGGGCGAATATCGTCAGTGGCATGTGGATTTTCAGGGTGAAGCGGCCGCCGGGTTCTCCGCCTGTCTTCAAGGCCCGTTACGTGGCTCGTGGCTTCAGACAGCGGCAGGGAGTTGACTACTTTCAGACCTTCTCCCCCACCCCGAAGATGACCACTCTTCGGGTACTGCTGCACGTTGCTGCTCACCGTGACTACGAGCTGCACTCTCTCGACTTCAGCACTGCTTTCTTGCAGGGCAGCCTGCACGAGGAGATCTGGCTGCGTCGCCCACCTGGCTTCACTGGGTCTTTCCCTCCTGGTACCCAGTGGAGTCTCCGGCGTCCAGTCTACGGTCTCCGCCAGGCGCCGCGTGAGTGGCACGACACACTGAGGACTACGCTGGCGGCACTTGGGTTTGCTCCTTCCACTGCAGACCCGTCGCTGTTTCTGCGCACCGACACCTCTCTGCCGCCGTTCTACATCCTCGTGTACGTCGACGACTTGGTCTTTGCCACAGCTGACACTGCTGGACTCGCCTACGTGAAGTCCAAGCTTCAGAAGAGACACACGTGCACAGACCTGGGTGAACTGCGCAGCTACCTTGGCTTGCAGATCACCCGGGACAGAGCACGCCGCACCATTACCCTGACTCAGTCACACATGGTGCAGCAGGTCCTTCAGCGCTTCGGCTTCACGTACTCCTCGCCTCAGGCCACTCCTCTGCCTACTCGCCACTCGCTCTCAGCTCTGCCTTCGGATGAGTCCGTAGAGTCGAGTGGCCCGTATGCAGAGCTTGTTGGCTGCCTCATGTACCTGATGACCTGCACATGACCTGACCTTGCATACCCTCTTAGCATTCTCGCACGCTATGTTGCTCCTGGAAGACACCGACTTGAGCACATGGCTGCAGCGAAGAGGGTGTTGCGCTACTTGTGCAGTACGTCGGGCATGGGGCTAGTGCTTGGAGGGCGCAGTCCAGTGGTCCTCACTGGGCACGCGGACGCTTCTTGGGCTGACGACCAGGCTACGCAGCGGTCGTCACAGGGTTACACCTTCAGTCTTGGTTCCGGCTCTGTTTCGTGGCGGGCTATCCGCTCGTCTTCTGTTCTCGGCTCCAGTTGTGAGGCTGAGATCTACGCCGGGGCTATGGCTGCCCAGGAGCTTCGCTGGCTCACCTACCTGCTGACCTACCTTGGAGAGCCGCCTCGTTCTCCTCGAGTCATGTACGTCGACAACAAGGCCATGCTGGCCTTGTGTCGAGAGCAGCGACTGGAGCACAGGACAAAGCACATTGCTCTCCGCTACTTTCTTGCTCATGAGCTACAGCAGCGTGGACAGTTGCGACTTGCGTACGTGGCCTCTGAGGCCAACACTGCTGATGTCTTCACCAAGGCACTTGCGCCTTGTGATCATCAGCGCTGCTGCACGCAGCTGGGCCTTGTACCTGCCTTGCCTCACTTGCTCACTTCTTGACATTGCTTGTACCTTTACCTATATATACTCTTGCTCTTGCTTGCTTGCCTCTTGTATATCTCTATATGTGATCTTGCATGTGAACTGGCCTTCTGGCCTTTGAACTTGTGCTCGGAATGTGTGGTGACTTTGTGATCCACCCTGAGCTTTGCTTTGCTTTGCTTGACTGGTCTTGTGACCCCTTGTTCTCCCCCACTTTGCCTATGGGGGTGTGTCAGAACATTATAGCTTACTTATTTGTGTAGGCTATAGTGGGGTATCCCATAGGGGGTACAACCCAATTAGGGTTTCCTATTTGTACTCACCTCGTTCATAGTTCATTCATTCTCGTTCTATTCTTCTCAGATATGAACTCGAATACTTTTAGGAATCAACCTTTAGACTATATGCAGCGACGAGGTGAAGAGAGGTGTAGAGTAGGACAAGAGAATGTTGGGAATACGCGGGCGTAAAGAATCGTGCGGGCACATATATAGTGCAAGGCAAGGCGAGTAGGGGGCGGCGGAAGGAGGCGGGGACGGCGGCGCGGGATGATAGGAGAACGGGAACGGCACGAAAAGCTCCAATGGGGCTAGCAATGAGAGCGATGGGAAGGAACGACACGACTCGACATCGTCACGCGTTTTGCGGTAGGTACGAGCTGAGCGCGGGCTGGAGATGTGGGAAACACTTCGGTGGGGCATGAATCGCATGGCCTTCGCGTACACATAATTGTGTTTGCAAATAATTATCTGCTGCTGGAAGCGTGCACACATGATTATTGATCCGCGCGTGTTAGTCCATCGACGGTGGAATATCGTGCATCTTGCCTTCAGATCGCAATGAGCAGCTGCATGGAGAGAATTGCTCCAAACCCTTGTTTGGAGATTTAGCGTTGCCCACGTGGCTATCATTCGCTCGCGTGGTTCTCAAATTCAGTGATAATTGCTCGAGTGGCCTTGCCAGGGGATTCCCACAGGCTTTTTTTAACCCGTCACATTACCCTACACGGCTTTCTACCCCTGAAACTCTTGTACTAGTTACTGCGCGATCTTAAGTATCCAAAATCTATGTTCGTGACCCTATATGACCGCGCCTGATTGGACGCGCAATTCAAAAAAGGGCACCGCGCATATAATTGACCAATCATGCGCGGTCATTAAGGGCATTGCATTTTATAACTGCGGAAATATATGATCGGGCATTAAAATATTATGCGCGCGACCATGATATCCGCGCAGGATTGGTCGATTACATGAGCGTCCAATCAGGCGCGGTCATATAGGGTCACGAACATATATTTCAGATATATAAGATCGCGCAATAACCAATACAGAAGTTTCGAGGATAGATACCCCTGAAGGGTAATGTTCATTCTAAAAAAAAAGACGTTGAGAATCCCCTGGCGAGGCCACTCGAGCAATTATCACTGAATTCGAGAACCACTCGAGCAAATGGTGGCCACGTGTGCATCAACGAATCCTTAAACAAGGGTTTGGAGCAAATCTCTCAGCAGCATGAAGACCAGGAATATAGATCGCCTTCATGGGGTGTCCGGACATTGAAGTGGGGACAGCGAAAAGTGCATTCCGCGGGTGTAAGAGATTGGGTAGGATGATGAGGTGGAGGGGGAACGAATCTGGACGTCGCAATTGTTCAGAGGTCCCCAACGTGCGAACACCCCTCATGATCGGACGGTTGGGCTTGACCAACTAGGTTTGAGATGCGATCACAGATCGTAGATGGAGTCGTGCAGGAAATTTTGATCCTACACTGGAGAGTAGGTGAGAGTGTGAAAGCAGCGTGGAAGCAACGTGAAATCTGCCACGCTGGACCCAGATAGTTGTACTTTTGGGGGCTGTCCTGTCCCAAGTTCGCAGGAAGGCGATCAAGCCTCACAATTAGGGCGTATTCCTGCACTTCGGGTCATCAGCACTTCGGGCCATCCGAAATTGTGGGATCCAATCGGAAATTCGGAATCAAGAGATTGGGGTGCATTCCGATTTTCCGATTGGATCCCACAATCTCGGATGACCCGAAGTGCTGATGACCCGAAGTGCTGGAATACGCCCTTATTGGCGCCAGTTTGCATCAACCATAGAGGGAAACAGTCACAAGGCCGACAACAAGCTACCGTACGCGATAAGAGCGATAGGTACAATGGAGAGTGCCACTAACTAGAGGCCATGCCATACACAAATAGTGTCGGGGTGATTTTCTACCTCGCTATTGGAAAATGTTGAAGTAGCATGAAACACATACGAAACGACTTTCGCGAGCAAACATATGAGTAATACGGGTAACTAGACGTGGTTCGCGCGATGGGGCCCTTTCCCGAACCTGCTCGGCGGTTCGGTCCCAAGGTCCCCACCTAGCCGCGTCAGTGTGGCCCGGGCCACGTCAGAGTGGCGTGATTGCTGCGTCAGAGAGGCCCGGCTAACTTGGTTTTGGGCCATCAGCCACGCCTCGGGGCCAAGGCTCGGCCGCCGAAAGCCGATTCGGGTGAGCGGCCGAGTGCCCAGCCATGGTTTCGTCGTTTTGCTCGTGGCCAGCGGGTGGACGCCGTTACCCTGATCCCCCGCTACTGAGCAAAACAGTTGTTGCTCTCACGTTGACGCGTGGCGTTTCAACACCCGCTCGCCGTCCATGACGGGCCGCGCGAGGCGGACCTCGCGATCGCAGATCGTTGCCGCAGCCCTTCCCTGGCTAGTAGCGGCGGTCGTCGCCAGTCTCCTGCCACGTGTCGTGCAGCCCGTGACTCTCGCCGACTCCCAAGGTGCGCCACGCTCGCAAGACGTAGCTTTTACTACTCTCGACCAGCAGCAAGTCACGCTCCCTCCTCTATTCCGCTCTACTCGCGCGACTTCCATTAGTACTCGTGACAGTTACCGCATTGTAACGACGAACCCTTCCTTCGCGTTGCTCTCGGGCTGCTCTCTCGTTGCGCACGCGCTGCTCTCGCGCTGCTCCCGCGCCCTCGCACTGCTCTCGGTCCCGCTGCGATCGCGCTGCGCTCGCGCTGCTCCCTCGCTGCGCTCGCGCTGCTCCCTCGCTGCGCTCGCGCTGCTCTCGCGCTGCTCTCGCGCTGCTCTCGAGCTGCTCTCGCGCTGCTCTCGAGCTGCTCTCGCGCTGCTCCCCCGCTGCTCCGCGCTGCTCTCGCGCTGCGCTCGCGCTGATCTCGCGCTGCTCCCGCGCTGCGCTCGCGCTGATCTCGCGCTGCTCTCGCGCTGCGCTCGCGCTGATCTCGCGCGTTGGTGGCGTCCCCTGCCATCCTCGCGTAGTACCTCCTCCCCTCGCCCTCTTCCCCTCTCGGACGGAGTCATTTTCACAAAATAGAGTGGGGCATAGCCAGTGGAGTTTTTTTGAGAATTCTCAAAAAAACCCCCTCCAGCATCATTTTCACAAAATAGAGTGGGGCATAGCCAGTGGAAGACAAGTCTCGCGCCTTGGTGGCGTCCCCTGCCATCCTCGCATAGTACCTCCTCGCCCATTTCCCCTCGCCATCGAACGGAGTCACTTTCACAAAATAATGGGATACAGCCAGGGCAGGCAGGAATGACCATGACCTGCACCAGGGGGGTCCAGCAATAACAGGAAGTGCCTGGGTGGGGGCCGATCGGGTAGTTTTGAGGCGCCTCGGGTAGTTAACAATTTGCCACAAGAGCAGAGTGTAATGACAGGTCAGGTGCATGGGAGGGCGTGGGGAGAGGGGCCAGAGTGGGGAGAGGGGCCAGAGTGGCCGCTGTGGGCGGGTAGTCCCTTCCCATGGGGTGCGCGGGCCGGTGATGCTTTGGCTTGGATGCTTGGCGGCCTGAGCCGGAGTGAGGGGCTCCCCAGGACTTGGGCCTCCTCTGGAGCTGAGGAGCCTGCTCCGCTAGTCATCCGCTGTGGGGAGCAGAGGTAGTCATCGCCACGTAGGCACAGCCTCCAGCCACGTAGGCACAGCGGAGTGAGGGGCTGGAGGATGGGGGCCCTCTGGAGCTGAAGAGCCTGCTCTGTTAGTCATCCGCCTGTGCTCTGCTAGCCCTTCCAGAGCACAGCCCTTCCAGAGCACAGCCCTTCCAGAGCACAGCCCTTGCAGAGGCGAGTTTCTGCTTCTGAGGGTGTCAAGAATCGCTCTCCCTCTCCCTCACCCTTTTCCTCTCCCTTCTCCATCTACCACGGAGCTAACGATTTGCACTGGAGCCTGCTGTCCCGCTGGCCTTCCCTCCAGCTTGTGCTGTACTTCAGTTTTGCGCAGAACTGAACTCTTGCATTGACGTCCATCCCCTCTTCCTCTCCTCCCCCCTCTCCCTCCCCCTCCCCCTCTCTCCTCCCAAGTCCCGAATTCCCGCTGTCCACTGCACCTCGCCTCCCTCACTGCGCGCTCGTGCCTGCGCACACGTATATCCCTCACTGCGCGCTGTGGCGGCGCTGAAGGAGTGTGCGGTAGAGTGGGGGATGAGATTAGTATTTCTACCGTGCGTAGTTCACTACAAACGTGCATACCATGTATCTCCCTCACTGCACCTCGCCCAGTGGCTTAGTTGGTACTTTACGTTTTTTTGGGTCACGTAAACGTAAACTTACGCTTGAGTTTACCTTTACGTTTTCTTACGCGTAATTTTACGTAAAGTCGCACGGGCAGGGCAAAATTTTTTTTTTTTGCCCGCGAAACGAAAAAATCTGACTGATATGAGGTGGGAGAGGCTGCTACATGTTTGTGTAGATTTGGGGCATCTGTAAGTTGATGTAATAATGTGCTAACATGCTTGGGCGTAGAAGAACCAAGCTAGTGATAGATTAGGCGCTTCCCATGCAGCCACTTAGTCCGATGATTTCTTATATTTCCGGGCAGTTAGAACTGTTTCTAGCTGACCGTAAACGTAAAGCCATTTTTAGCCCACGTAAGTAAACGTAAGTTTACTACGTAAAGTCACGTAAACGTAAACCACCGTAAACGTACAATACCAACTAAGCCCAGTGGCGGCAGCCATGAGACTAGGCGAGCTGCAGCTTAGGAGAATTCTTTAGCAGAAGAAAAACAGTAGAGTTAAAACTCTTGTGTTGCCAGCTCAAAAAACAAGATCGAAACTGAGCTCTAAGTCCACTACAACGATTAAAACGCAAAAACTGAGCTCCCTCACTGCACCTCGCGCAGTGGCGGCGCTGAAGGATTGTGTAGTATTTTTCACAACAAGAGTGCATACCGTGTATCTCCCTCACTGCCTGCGCGTATCTCCCTCACTGCCTGCGCGTATCTCTCTCACTGCACCTCTCGCAGTGGCGGCGCTGAAGGAGTGTGCGGTGGAGTGGGGGATGAGCGTCAATGCAGCGTCAAGGTGGGCGCGGGGCATGGAGTGCGCGCCGGCACAGGGCATCACATGCGACAGTGACGGCATGGTGACGGCGCTGTGAGTGGGAGGGGGTGGGGGGGATGAGCGCGAGGGGGGATGGGGGGGGGGAATGAGCGCGACAGGGTGGGCCCGGAGTGCACTCAGGCACAGGGCATCACATGTGACGGGGACAGCATGGTGACGTCCATGTGAGTGCGGAATCGAGTATCAGGGTATTCATGATGCACTCGGGGAGTTGAGCGCGACGGGTTGAGTGGAGGACGTGGAGTGCAGGCAGGCGCAGGGCATCACATGTATAAGAGTCGAGCACAGGCTTGCCATGGACAGATGCATTGTGTTGCCGCTGCCGCATGCATGCCGTGTCAACATGCATGCCGTGTCAACATGCATGCCGTGTCAACATGCATGCCGTGTCAACATGCATGCCGCGTCAACATGCATGCCGCGTCAACATGCATGCCGCGTCAACATGCATGCCGCGTCAACATGCATGCCGCGTCAACATGCATGCCGCGTCAACATGCATGCCGCGTCAACATGTAATGCATGCATGCTGTGTCAACATGCGAACACTCTCGTGTTTCTTGTTCTCGTGCTCACTCATCCCTCCCCTCCCACCGCCCGTCCCCACCTCTCCACCCCGCTCTCTTTCTTTGGGTGAGCAGAGACGTGTCCAACAGGGGCCTCAACGGCCGCTTGCCTGTTGCCCTCTCCGCCCTCTCGCGCCTTCAATCCCTGTCAGTTGCCCCACCTCCTCTCCCTGTCAGCCGTCTCCAATCACTGCCAGTCAGTTACTGTCAGCCGTCTCCACTCACTGTCAGTCAGTTACTCACTGTCAGCCGTCTCCACTCACTGTCTGTCAGTTACTCACTGTCAGCCGTCTCCACTCACTGTCAGTCAGTTACTCACTGTCAGCTGTCTCCACTCACTGTCAGTCACTTACTCACTGTCAGCCGTCTCCATGCCCATCCCCATCTCCTCCCTCTCGCACCTCCACTCCCTGTCAGTCGCCTCCTCTCCCTCTCAGTCGCCTCCTCTCCCCTCATTCGCCTCCACTCACTGTTTGTCGCCCTGCAACCCCCCTTCACCCAACCCACCTCGCTCTCCACTCCACCCATCACCCTCCACCAGTCACTCACTCCGTTGCCTCCTCACTCTCATGCTCTCTCACCTCCCAATACCACCACCACACCCCCCCCTCCCCACCCGTCCCCCGTCCCACCCCCTCCCACCTCGTCCTCTTGTGCACTCCTCCACCCGTCACCACTCAACCCGTCACCACTCTCCACTTGTCACCACTCTCCACCCGTCACCACTCTCCACCCGTCACCACTCTCCACCCATCTTCTTTGATTTCTCACTCTCATGCTCTGCCCTCTCACTCCGCCCACGTTCCACCGTACCACCTCTTCCCCTTGGGCCCCTCCTCTTATGCCTGACGCGTGCAGTGATGTGCACCAGAACCAGCTGTCCGGACCTCTGCCACCCGCCCTTTCCACTCTCCAACTCCCTACCCCTCCTCCCTTGAGCCCCTCCTCTTGTGCCCGACGCGTGCAGTGATGTGCACCAAAAGTGTTTGGACCCACCCACCACGTCCCAACACCCACTACCTCATCCTCCCCTATTCCTCCCCCCTCTCACCCGCTCCTCTTGTGCCCGATGCGTGCGGTGCAGTGATGTGCACCTCTTGTGCAGTGATGTGCACCTCTTGTGCAGTGATGTGCACCTCTTAGCCTCTTGTGCAGTGATGTGCACCTCTTGTGCAGTGATGTGCACCTCTTGTGCAGTGATGTGCACCTCTTGTGCAGTGATGTGCACCTCTTGTGCAGTGATGTGCACCTCTTGTGCAGTGATGTGCACCTCTTGTGCAGTGATGTGCACCTCTTGTGCAGTGATGTGCACCTCTTGTGCAGTGATGTGCACCTCTTGTGCAGTGATGTGCACCTGAACCAACTGTCCGGCCCTCTCCCCTCGCCCACTCCCTACCCCTCTTCCCTCCCACCCCCTCCTCTTGTGCACAACGGTGCAGTGATGTGCACTAGAACTAATTGTCCGGACCTCTTCCTCCCCACTCCAATGCTCTCCCACCCACCTCCCAATACCCACCACATCCCCCACTCTCTATTCCCCTCCCCTCCCACCCCCTCCTCTTGTGCCCCACGCTTGCGGTGCAGTGATGTGCGCCAGAATCAAATGTTCGGACCTTTGCCTTCTACCCTCTCCACCCTCGTCCGCCTCAACACCCTGTGAGGCTGTGAGGCGCGCTTCCCCCTGTGAGGCGCGCTGCCCCCTGTGAGGCGCGCTGCCCCCTGTGAGGCGCGCTGCCCCCTGTGAGGCGCGCTGCCCCCTGTGAGGCGCACTGCCCCCTGTGAGGCGCGCTGCCCCCTGTGAGGCGCACTGCCCCCTGTGAGGCGCACTGCCCCCTGTGAGGCGCACTGCCCCCTGTGAGGCGCACTGCCCCCTGTGAGGCGCACTGCCCCCTGTGAGGCGCTCTGCCCCCCGTGAGGCGCACTGCCCCCTGTGAGGCGCACTGCCCCCTGAGAGGCGCACTGCCCCCTGTGAGGCGCACTGCCCCCTGTGAGGCGCACTACCCCCTGTGAGGCGCACTGCCCCCAGTGAGGCGCACTGCCCCCTTTTGGGACTTTGAGCTGAGGAGACCTTAGTGTTATCCTTCTGTGATCTCTCTGTATGCTCGTGCGGGTGGCATGTCACTAACACCGCATGTGAGGGGTGGCGGTCTGGTTTGTGCCTTTTTGCGTGCGTGCGCATGCGTGTGTGTGTGTGTGTGTGTGTGTGTGTACGTGTGTGTGTGCATGTGTGTGTGTGTTTGTGTATGTGTGCATCTGTGTGTGCGTGCATGTATGTGTGTGTGTATGTGTGTGTGTATGTGTGCTGTGTATTTGTGTGTGTGTGTGTGTGTGTGTGTGTGTGTGTGTGTGTGTGTTTGTTGCACGCATGTAGATATCTAAGCAGCAACAATTTCTCGGGCCCTATTTTCGACGTCATTGTCAACATGCCATGGGTTGTTACCATGTAACCAATGTTGCCCTGTAACCAACATGCCATCCCTTGTTGCCCTGTAACCAACATGCCATCCCTTGTTACCCTGTAACAAACATGCCATCCCTTGTTGCCCTGTAACCAACATGCCATCCCTTGTTGCCCTGTAACCAACATGCCATCCCTTGTTGCCCTGTAACCAACATGCCATCCCTTGTTACCCTGTAACCAACATGCCATCCCTTGTTGCCCTGTAACCAACATGCCATCCCTTGTTGCCCTGTAACCAACATGCCATCCCTTGTTGCCCTGTAACCAACATGCCATCCCTTGTTGCCCTGTAACGAACATGCCATCCCTTGTTGCCCTGTAACCAACATGCCATCCCTTGATACCCTATAACCAACATCCCATCCCTTGTTGCCCTGTAACCAACATGCCATCCCTTGTTGCCCTGTAACCAACATGGCATCCCTTGTTGCCCTGTAACGAACATGGCATCCCTTGTTGCCCTGTAACCAACATGCCATCCCTTGTTACCCTGTAACCAACATGCCATCCCTTGTTGCCCTGTAACCAACATGCCATCCCTTGTTGCCCTGTAACCAACATGCCATCCCTTGTTGCCCTGTAACCAACATGCCATCCCTTGTTACCCTATAACCAACATGCCATCCCTTGTTGCCCTGTAACCAACATGCCATCCCTTGTTGCCCTGTAACCAACATGCCATTCCTTGTTGCCCTGTAACCAACATGCCATCCCTTGTTGCCCTGTAACCAACATGCCATCCCTTGTTACCCTGTAACCAACATCCCATCCCTTGTTACCCTGTAACCAACATGCCATCCCTTGTTGCCCTGTAACCAACATGCCATCCCTTGTTGCCCTGTAACCAACATGCCATCCCCTGTTGCCCTATAACCAACATGGCATCCCTTGTTGCCCTGTAACCAACATGCCATCCCTTATTACTCTGTAACCGATCCCTTGTTACCCTGTAACCAACATGCCATCCCTTGTTGCCCAGTAACCAACATGGCATCCCTTGTTACCCTGTAACCAACATGCCATCCCTTGTTACCCTGTAACCAACATGCCATCCCTTGTTGCCCTGTAACCAACATGCCATCCCTTGTTGCCCTGTAACCAACATGCCATCCCTTGTTGCCCTGTAACCAACATGCCATCCCTTGTTGCCCTGTAACCAACATGCCATCCCTTGTTACCCTATAACCAACATCCCATCCCTTGTTGCCCTGTAACCAACATGCCATCCCTTGTTGCCCTGTAACCAACATGGCATCCCTTGTTGCCCTGTAACGAACATGGCATCCCTTGTTGCCCTGTAACCAACATGCCATCCCTTGTTACCCTGTAACCAACATGCCATCCCTTGTTGCCCTGTAACCAACATGCCATCCCTTGTTGCCCTGTAACCAACATGCCATCCCTTGTTGCCCTGTAACCAACATGCCATCCCTTGTTACCCTATAACCAACATGCCATCCCTTGTTGCCCTGTAACCAACATGCCATCCCTTGTTGCCCTGTAACCAACATGCCATTCCTTGTTGCCCTGTAACCAACATGCCATCCCTTGTTGCCCTGTAACCAACATGCCATCCCTTGTTACCCTGTAACCAACATCCCATCCCTTGTTACCCTGTAACCAACATGCCATCCCTTGTTGCCCTGTAACCAACATGCCATCCCTTGTTGCCCTGTAACCAACATGCCATCCCCTGTTGCCCTATAACCAACATGGCATCCCTTGTTGCCCTGTAACCAACATGCCATCCCTTATTACTCTGTAACCGATCCCTTGTTACCCTGTAACCAACATGCCATCCCTTGTTACCCTGTAACCAACATGCCATCCCTTGTTGCCCTGTAACCAACATGCCATCCCTTGTTGCCCTGTAACCAACATGCCATCCCTTGTTGCCCTGTAACCAATATGCCATCCCTTGTTGCCCTGTAACCAACATGCCATCCCTTGTTGCCCTGTAACCAACATGCCATCCCTTGTTGCCCTGTAACCAACATGCCATCCCTTGTTGCCCTGTAACCAACATGCCATCCCTTGTTGCCCTGTAACCAACATGCCATCCCTTGTTGCCCTATAACCAACATGCCATCCCTTGTTGCCCTGTAACCAACATGCCATCCCTTGTTACCCTGTAACCAATATGCCATCCCTTGTTACCCTGTAACCAACATCCCATCCCTTGTTGCCCTGTAACCAACATGCCATCCCTTGTTGCCCTGTAACCAACATGCCATCCCTTGTTACCCTGTAACCAACATGCCATCCCTTGTTACCCTATAACCAACATGCCATGCCATCCTTTGTTGCCCTGTAACCAACATGCCATCCCTTGTTGCCCTGTAACCAACATGCCATCCCTTGTTACCCTGTAACCAACATGCCATCCCCTGTTGACCTATAACCAACATGGCATCCCTTGTTGCCCTGTAACCAACATGCCATCCCTTGTTACCCTGTAACCAACATGCCATCCCTTGTTGCCCTGTAACCAACATGCCATCCCTTGTTGCCCTGTAACCAACATGCCATCCCTTGTTACCCTGTAACCAACATGCCATCCCTTGTTGCCCTGTAACCAACATGCCATCCCTTGTTGCCCTGTAACCAACATGCCATCCCTTGTTACCCTATAACCAACATCCCATCCCTTGTTGCCCTGTAACCAACATGCCATCCCTTGTTGCCCTGTAACCAACATGGCATCCCTTGTTGCCCTGTAACGAACATGGCATCCCTTGTTGCCCTGTAACCAACATGCCATCCCTTGTTACCCTGTAACCAACATGCCATCCCTTGTTGCCCTGTAACCAACATGCCATCCCTTGTTGCCCTGTAACCAACATGCCATCCCTTGTTGCCCTGTAACCAACATGCCATCCCTTGTTACCCTATAACCAACATGCCATCCCTTGTTGCCCTGTAACCAACATGCCATCCCTTGTTGCCCTGTAACCAACATGCCATTCCTTGTTGCTCTGTAACCAACATGCCATCCCTTGTTGCCCTGTAACCAACATGCCATCCCTTGTTACCCTGTAACCAACATCCCATCCCTTGTTACCCTGTAACCAACATGCCATCCCTTGTTGCCCTGTAACCAACATGCCATCCCTTGTTGCCCTGTAACCAACATGCCATCCCCTGTTGCCCTATAACCAACATGGCATCCCTTGTTGCCCTGTAACCAACATGCCATCCCTTATTACTCTGTAACCGATCCCTTGTTACCCTGTAACCAACATGCCATCCCTTGTTACCCTGTAACCAACATGCCATCCCTTGTTGCCCTGTAACCAACATGCCATCCCTTGTTGCCCTGTAACCAACATGCCATCCCTTGTTGCCCTGTAACCAATATGCCATCCCTTGTTGCCCTGTAACCAACATGCCATCCCTTGTTGCCCTGTAACCAACATGCCATCCCTTGTTGCCCTGTAACCAACATGCCATCCCTTGTTGCCCTGTAACCAACATGCCATCCCTTGTTGCCCTGTAACCAACATGCCATCCCTTGTTGCCCTATAACCAACATGCCATCCCTTGTTGCCCTGTAACCAACATGCCATCCCTTGTTACCCTGTAACCAATATGCCATCCCTTGTTACCCTGTAACCAACATCCCATCCCTTGTTGCCCTGTAACCAACATGCCATCCCTTGTTGCCCTGTAACCAACATGCCATCCCTTGTTACCCTGTAACCAACATGCCATCCCTTGTTACCCTATAACCAACATGCCATGCCATCCTTTGTTGCCCTGTAACCAACATGCCATCCCTTGTTGCCCTGTAACCAACATGCCATCCCTTGTTACCCTGTAACCAACATGCCATCCCCTGTTGACCTATAACCAACATGGCATCCCTTGTTGCCCTGTAACCAACATGCCATCCCTTGTTACCCTGTAACCAACATGCCATCCCTTGTTGCCCTGTAACCAACATGCCATCCCTTGTTGCCCTGTAACCAACATGCCATCCCTTGTTACCCTGTAACCAACATGCCATCCCTTGTTGCCCTGTAACCAACATGCCATCCCTTGTTGCCCTGTAACCAACATGCCATCCCTTGTTGCCCTGTAACTAACATGCCATCCCTTGTTGCCCTGTAACCAACATGCCATCCCTTGTTGCCCTGTAACCAACATGCCATCCCTTTTTCCCTTGTAACCAACATGCCATCCCTTGTTGCCCTGTAACCAACATGCCATCCCTTGTTGCCCTGTAACCAACATGCCATCCCCTGTTGCCCTATAACCAACATGGCATCCCTTGTTGCCCTGTAACCAACATGCCATCCCTTATTACTCTGTAACCGATCCCTTGTTACCCTGTAACCAACATGCCATCCCTTGTTACCCTGTAACCAACATGCCATCCCTTGTTGCCCTGTAACCAACATGCCATCCCTTGTTGCCCTGTAACCAACATGCCATCCCTTGTTGCCCTGTAACCAATATGCCATCCCTTGTTGCCCTGTAACCAACATGCCATCCCTTGTTGCCCTGTAACCAACATGCCATCCCTTGTTGCCCTGTAACCAACATGCCA